CAACTGTATTTGCATGCCTAAAAATGAACCTGTCAGTGAAAGATAAGACTGTCAGCTTTAAAAAAAAAATAAAAAAAAATAAAAAAAATCACTGTTATCATCAAGTTGAAGGAGTCCTCCAGCAGGCATGGTGGCACTGGCGTGGGAAGGACTCCGTGCCCCTGCCATGATAGCTGGCAGCAGAAATCAAAGTAATGGAATAGGAAAGCTGAATTTTTCCACTCTCTGGGAAGTCAAACCAGAACAGGAATAGTTAAAAAAATGGTGCTCGCCAGTGGCCATCCTGTAGCAGTGGCTGGGCAGCGTGTTTGGAGCCAGACTTTAATTTCTGCATTATGTTACTGACTTCAAACAGGGCGACAGCTGAATTCTGGAGAGAAGCAACTCCGTTCTCCTTTGGGGATGAACAGCACCTAGTGCTACAGTCCCAGTCTTTAAGTGTCAGGCAAGCAAAACTCACAGCTGGTAAATACAATAGATAATTTAAAAAAACACTAGAGTAGCTCAGAAATAACCCATATGGGAGAAGGAGAAAGGGCATTTCAAGTGAGATCTAACATACCATTTCTATGGAGCTCTATTTTGTTGCATAACATCAAAGAAAAAGCCTCTTGAGTTACTCCTGACTTCCCCCCCCACCTTTTTTTAAAAAAAAAGAAAAAAAGAAAAAAAAAGAATCACTTGCTAATAAAAAAGACAGGAAAATCCAATAAAATTACTTTGCCTCCCATGTTCTAATAAAAGCCAGTTTAATACAGAAAATACTATCATCAGAGTGATCAACTTGATTCTCATAAAGAGAAAATAACACCAGTCAGTAACAGCCTGTATCTGTAGCATTCACTGGTACAACCTCTGCATTAGAGAGAGAGGATAGACATCAGGAAAAGTAAAAAATCATGGGTTTTCCACAAAAACCATTAGGCAGCTTTGTCAGATGTGCTGGTATTTATACATTTCTTATTCAACATGCTTCCTCAATTTTTTTTCTTTAGAAAAAAAAAAATACTGGCATTTTTGTTTAAGAGACTTTAAGTACTGGTACAAAGCTCAACCCAATGTTCTAGAGACATTTGGTTCTTCAGTTAGTGTTGGCTTTACCATTTCATGTCAGCCAAGATTTTTCATGCTGTACAGATGTCTTCCTACTTTGATGACATCTAAATTTAGAGGGTGTGGATAACTACTGTTAGCAATAACAAGTGGTGAATGACAAGGGGCAAGAAGCACACCTTTATTCTTCAAAGGGAACATACAAACTATGGATGCTGATGCTGCAAATAAAATTGATGGCCCCACTTTATCTCCAAATGAATCTCCAGAAGAGGAAGTGCTAGACAGATCATAGCCCAATCTCAAATAATTATTTTGTTAATGATCCTAGATGAAAAATACTTTTTTTTGCTGATAACTTGCACATTAGCATAGAGAAGACTAATGGAAGCATAATATTTCTGGCTTACTGAAACCAATACTTTTTATTTTTAACTAAATGTTGAAAATATTTTAAAAAGAATTGTCAAGCAAGCCTGGAACACCTGGACCAGACACCCTGCTTTGCTGCAATGCAGTCTAAGCAGTGCTGCCTCAGAAGGTCACTTGTACTTCAACTACTGCAATATGTCACCACCTTATAAATGGGAGGGAGTTATATCAGCAAATAAAATTGGTGCCTTGTCTTGCCCCGGCACTGACTTTCCACTCCCAGGTGCAAGGTGTGATGTGTGTGAAGGTTTAAATTTAAAGGATCTGAGTGACTAAATCAGCTATGAACTCACAAGTAGAAGACTAACTGAGAAGCATTGAGCCCTGGATCTTTAACGAAGAATACACACAACTGCACCAAATTTCACAGGCTTGAGGCATTTCGGTGCTGAACAGTAGTAACTCCAGAACTGCTAAGATGCAAACAGTGTATGGCTTCAGCATCATGAATCGCATTACATCAAAAACACACCTTTCAGAATTTCCGTTTTACAGAAGGTCAAAATTACTGCATGCTGTCAAGATTTTTAAAACTGAAATCTTCAGACACTTTCAAGGTATGTCATTACATATTTCACAATTCATAAGTCCAAACTTGGAAATGAAAATAGTGTGTCTTTATTGATAGTCTGCCACAAATTATTGTATAAACTTAGAGTTAGCCAAAAATGTCTCTGCTACATGGGAAGATCCCGAACACTGCAAGCATATCTGCAAAAAGCGGATGCTTTCTCATAGCAGGTAACAGATGTTCTGTTCCCAGCTCTCGCTATGGTGCCACACGCAATTAAAGTGTTGTTGTACACAAACTGTACGAGGCTCAGTAAAGTCACTGTCTCTTCATTATTGCAAACACACAGAGATGTACATGCTCATGTTAAGCCTTCACTGACTTCAGCGGGACTCCCGTCTCTCTTAGGTGAGCTTGTACACAATGTTTGCAGGACTGGAGTTTACGACTACAAAAGCAGTGACGAGGGGGACGAGAACAGACATACCACAGCAG